TATGGCATTGGTCTGGCTGAAGTTGACGCTGATCTCTCCGCCTTCAGGTCTTACTTCTCGTCCGAGAAACTTCTCCGGTTACAGAATATTAGGGAAAGTCAGAGCAAATATTTCTCTAGTGGCTCTCCACGTAATAATAAATTTTTTTAGATAAGGTGACGCGACCAGAGGATCAAGCACCCTCTGTAAGGTTGGACGATGGTAAGCTTAGTGTATTTCTTATTAATATTCAGTCCTTAAGACACAAAACAGATGAATTATTTATTTTATTAGAAGAGCTTAATTTTCCAGAAATCATCGCCATTACTGAACACTGGTTAAATATGGATGAACCTGTGTTTGTCAAAAATTACACCTCAATAGCTAGATTTAATCGAAGTAATTTATCTCACGGAGGCACTATGATAATGTCCACTAATAATGACTTTGCGGCAATAACCAAGTTTGATCATTTATTATCGGAAAAAATATTTGAATTTTCCCTCGTCTATCATAGTGGCTTTGACCTTTATATTGTTTGTTTATATCGATCACCGGACACAGGCGCGCACATGTTTTGTCGGAATTTGCTGAGCTTGCTTGACTCCTTGCCCTTGAATTGCAAAATAATTTTATGTGGTGACTATAATATAAATTTTTCCTGTGTGTGCGCTGCTCAAGAATCTCTCCAGTCCATTTTCGACTCCTTTGGGATTGTCATGCATGTAAACTCTCCAACCAGAATAACCAAAACTAGTTCTACTACCATTGACTATGTCGCTTCATCTTTTGATCCAGAATTGGTCAACTGTTCTATTTTTAGTGCAGGGTTTTCTGACCACGAAGCAGTATTAACGAATTTCTCATTGAATTCCTTACGTAAGGGTGCTTCCCGCAAATTGGGCAGAATATTTTCGGATGGAAATTTTTTAAATTTCAGTCAACTTTGCTTATCAGTTGACTGGGTCGTCCACTCAGATGATGTTGACTCCGAGTTCTCTAGATTCATAAATACCCTATCTGACCTGGCGACTAAATCCTTTCCTCTCAGACCCATCAAAGTCAAACGGCATAAACCATGGTCCACTAGTGGCTTGCGTACTTCTGGAAAAAATATGCGATCCTTGTCTCATCTAAAAAAATTCTCGGATAGCGTCTTCTTCAATGATTACGTAAAATTATACCGAAAAGTCTATCAGAAAACCATAAAAGCCGCCAAAGACATTTATTATAATAGGAGGCTGGCAAACTCCAAAAATGTTGCAAAAGAAACATGGTCAATTTGTTAATGACTTGAGGAATAAGGCTTCTTCATCTAGCAAAATTCCTACTTCACCTGAGATCCTTAACGATTACTTTGTTGATGTGGCTAAGAATTTAGTGAATACCTTAACTCCTTCCCAGGACCCACTTTCATATCTCCCGAATGCTGAGGTGAACTTACACAGTTTCTTCTGCACGCCTGTAGTAGTTTCAGAGCTTCGCAGTACAATCAAAGATATTAAAAACAAATCTTCATCTGGGACTGATGGACTCACCCTCAAAATGTTTTCTAATCTTCCTGATTGCACATTAAAACATCTTACTACTCTGATCAACAAGTCGTTTCTAAATGGAGCTTTTCCAAACTGTCTTAAGATGGCGATAATTATCCCACTGCATAAGGGAGGTGATAAGGAGCTACCTTCAAACTATCACCCCATTGCACTCCTCCCTACGCTATCAAAGATCATAGAAAGATTGGTTAAAAAGAGGCTTCTATCATTTCTCTCTAAATATAATATTCTAACTACCAGTCAATTCGGTTTCCTAAGTAACAAATGTACTAATGATGCAATGTTTTCCCTTTTCAATAATGTATACTCCAGCCTGAACTGCCACCACTCTACAGCCTCAATTTTCTGTGATTTCTCCAAAGCTTTCGACTGTGTTAATCATAATATCTTAATTAACAAATTACAGTTCTACGGTTTCAGAGGAATGGCTCTCGAATGGTTTAAGTCTTATCTTGGTAACAGAAGTCAGCTTGTGAGGGTGGACTCGACCATGTCCTCTTGTAAACCAATTGAATGTGGTGTGCCTCAGGGTTCAGTTCTTGGCCCTATTTTGTTCCTGCTATTTATTAACGACATTGCTAGTCTGGATATTAGCGGAAAAGTTTGTCTCTTCGCAGACGATACTAGTTTCACTTGGAGCAACCCGGATATTACGGAACTCCATGGAACCGTATCTAGTGACTTAACCACCATCAAATCATGGTGTGACTCAAATCTCCTGTGCCTCAACCTCTCTAAAACCAAAGTTTCATCTTACAGAGCTTCGCTCCAATCTGTAGTACTGGATAACAATACCATGGAGGCCGTTGATTCCGTGAAATTCCTGGGGCTTTTTGTTGATAAATCTCTAAAGTGGGACCTGCATATCGACGCCTTAGCAAAGAAATTAAGTTCGGCCTGTTTTGCACTGAGATCTGTTTCCAGGGAGCTTAACTCGGCAACTTGCAGGATGGTATATTATGCTCTTTTTGAGTCGCATTTACGTTACGCCCTTCCATTCTGGGGCACGTGTTGTGCGTCTCAATTTGAACGCATTTTTAGACTGCAGAAGAGAGCTCTTCGTTATTCTTTGGGACTTGGTAGTAGAACTCACTGCCGAGAATTTTTTTATCAAGTCTAGTATATTGACTCTTCCATCTTTATTTATTTTCGAATCCGTCTGCTTAATTCGTAAGCACTTAATATCAGCTATCTCAGAGAGGCCATCTCACAATTATCCATTGAGGAACGCAGAGTTGGATCTTTATCTGCCAATCCCGCGCTCAGAGTTAGTTAAAAGTTCAATACTTTATAATGCTAAAAAGATGCATAATCATCTACCGCCTAACATCAGGTCCATTGCATCTTTTCTCGAATTTCGCAGGGCGTTGAAGGTGTATTTACTGGGGAGAGCCTTGTACACAGTAAGCGAGTTGTTTATGGTTTCCTAATTCTAAATTTTGAGCAGCTTACTCACAGGTTTTGTTTTTGTTCCTGTATCATGATAGGTTATTGTTTGTTTGTTTTTTTAGTACCTATAATATGCTTACTCGCACAGTATAAGCAGTTAGACCTAGATGTTTGTTTATTAGTTTTAATCAAATTTTGACCATGAACTATTTGTTCGTGTTTGGTTTTGTCTGTGCTTTTGCATTTGTATGTTTTGTTTTTTATTTTTTCAGCTTTGTCCACAAAATTGTAAAATTTTCTGACAATAAAGCAAATTCTTTCTTTCTTTCTTACCTCAAACACCAGAAAGAAAAGAAGACAATCCACCAGAGTCGGGAGACCAAAATGGAGCCAAGATTGTGGAGGGACTCACATCACAAATTTCGATTTTTGACAGAAGAGCTTTTGAATCTGGCCTAGAGAGATCTCAACCACAACCTCCCAACTATGCATATATATATCTTATCATTTTCTAAAGCAAAAATAACATCTCAAATTATAAAACGCCTCATTGATTCAGACACTATGGATAAATTGTTCAAGAATACCTTTACGGGCAATTTTTTTTCTGAATAATAAGTGACTCTAATAATAGAAAATGTTAATAACCAACTTTGTGTAATTTTGGGCGCCAAGTATGTAGTGCACACGGGGGGTCAACCACTATGCTTACAAATGTACAATGATTTCCATATCTAGCAATCACTGATCAATGAATCTCATGTATTCCCATCCTAAGAAATGAGACTGATTGCCAATGATTTTCAGATATTTTTGTATCATTACCAAGTGATTTCAGCAACTTCTGTATTTGCAACTCTAACCAAAAAACTAACTTTTATTTCCATGGTTGTGTAAACCCACAGATTTTGTTGTAGGTATGAATAGTTGTTGAGCCCTAGATACCATTGCGTGTCTACACTGCATAATATGGATCTAAAATAAGGGATATTTTTTTTGATTTCACTAGGATGTGAGAATCAGAGAAATCTTATTTCTGATTCTGACTCAGATGTATCATCTCTGTTTCTCGCCCTATATAGTGTTTATTCTATGTTCCCCTTTTCAAGTTCTTATTGCCTTGGATTCTCGACTTTTTCCGTTGTGTCTTTCTCAGGGACATTCCCATAGCTCTTGATACTCGATCGACAAACGTCCCTGCTTCTCTGAAAAGAACCAAATTGAAGTTGAGCCCTGAACAATCTCTTAATTGTAGCGAATCAATTGCTAAATCCGGACGTGTGAAGAAATTCTGTGTTTTCTTTTGGCAAGTCAGATTCGAGAGAGGCTACAAGATTCATCTTTTCAGTTTTATAATCCACAACATTGTCATACCTTCATCTCGTTCTTCTTCTTCTTCTTCAAGTTCTAAACTCTTCGTAGTCTCGGGTTCAGTTATTGGGAAATTCATTGGGATACCAAATTCTTTTCAAATTGACTAGCACTCAATGTTGCCTAAAACTTAGTCTTGAAGGTAAATACACAACTGACCGATAACCTATCGTTTAAAAGATATGATATACGATTTCTGGGTTAGAATGAGATGATATTCCTAGCAATTACCACATGATTCTCAGCGATTGCTAATGGATTCCTATGTGATTCCCAGGGACTTCTAAGTTATTTCCATGTATTCCTGATTGATTACTATGTGATTCCCAAAAAAATGTATAATGTTTATAGATTTCTACTAGTGGTTTACCCCTTATTGGCACACACAAAATATAATATTCATAATAATTACATATTATCTATCTTAAGATATTTCAAATTACATATAATAAAGATATTATGTACCTACTTACTTTTATCTTCCCTTTCTTATGGCCTTTCTACAACTACTCTCACATAAATAAACTTTTTTAATCTGTATGGATGGATACAACTTTCCAATAACAAAACTTCCATTTCTCAAGAGCAATTTTCCTTCTCTATAAAAAATGTCTAAAGGATACCTATATTTAGTGAGTGCTACAGTCTACAGTAGAAAAAAAGAATAGACAACATAATGAACTTTATTCAGGTCATTTATTCAGACTACTAGCTTATTAATAGGTACAGTATATTTGTACATCACAAACATTATTATTATATTATAGCCATTATTATATCACTTTAACTCTAACTCATGTATATTAATATATACAAATAAATTAAATAAATAACTTTACAAGGTAACAGAATGAATTATTCCCGTAGATATTGAAAAACATTTTCGTTTGTTTGCTTAAGAATCATTAAGATTGGTCTTTTTTCTTGCTAAACGTTCATCATACAATCCTGAAAATGGAATGTATGAATTTTTGAATAGGGATCACAGTTTTTTCGCTAAGAACTAAATAAGATCTTTTATGATATGATTGCCTAAATATACGTTTTTTTTTTTTAATTCCAAAGTTATCAATTTGTATTTTTATCACCTTCTTTATAATGAGGTGAGTATTATGTGAGGAAGACAAGGCATTATTAAAGTCTATAAAAATTATTTTTCTTTTTTAGAGGGGTTTTCTTTCTCTTCACATTATAATAATATAATATGTGTTATTAAGTTTTATGTCGGGTGTCTAAATATTAGTCTAGTTTTCTAATAAATGTATTTTCTAAGATTTTCTACAGCACGAACACATATTTTGCAGGCCAAAATACAAATAATCTAATTTGACTAAAAATATTAATGGTTATAAAATATGTAAGTACACAAGCCTTTTATAATAGGTATACAGGGTGATTTACCTGACCCGTGCATTAGCTGGCAGGTGGATTAGATAATAATACTAATCCACCTGTCAACTAGAAAAACTTCTAAGGCACGGGCTAGGAAAATCAGGGTGCATAGTTAGTTAACTTTGGTATTGTCAAAAATTTGGAAAAATCACATTGTAGATATGAAGTATATATTCTTTTGCAGATTTGGTAAGTTGGTAATAATTACAAGATTGTGTTGAAACTTTAGTTTAAGTACTTGTAAAAACCATATAAAGGAAGTTCTTCCTTTGGATCTCTGCAGCACAGTCACTATTCCTCATCCATCTTATATGATCGATTATCCATTGTCAAATTTGCAGTCAATTTCAAATTCATAATCAAATTTTCCGAGATCCTTTAATTTCAATTAATCAAAAGTTGTCAATATTCAAAATTTTTCTCTTATTTAGCCGATGTTGATAAATTATATACAAACATTAAGTTATTCACACGTTTTAACTACAGACAAAGCTTAGTACCTTATAAAAGCCGCTATAGTACAATATGAAAAAGTGTATAAGACCAAAAAGGAAAACTAAACACTAACCTCCATTTGAACGAGATGTCTTTCCTGGCACTTGTTTCTCATACACTGATAAACCAACGAGTATCCAACTAAGTCTATGGTTTTGCAAGTATGGACCCCTTGAATATTTTTCTACTTTATTAAGGCTTCCTATTGGACTGGTGTTTGTTTAAAAAAAAAAGTGAAATACCTAACAATGAAATTTCTATTGAAAATTAACCAAATTTGAGAGAGATTGATAGCTGATGCTTCATGGAAATCCATTATAAATTTTGAAAGGAAACAAGTTTCCATCTCCTTTTTTAGATGGAAAAATCGTTCAGGTTTTTTAAATATTTGCCTACAACTACATATTTTGAAGTTTGACATTTTTTTCTAACTTGGATGAAAATCTCAAAAACGATAATTTCAATTCAATCGGATTAAAAAATATCATGATTGATGAATAATTTTCTGAGACAAATTTTTGTTCTGGTCCCTGAAACAAAAGTTACTGGGCTTTTCTACTAATTCCCTTTTGACAGATTAAGTCAAAGTTACATGCATCATTCTTGATTTCCTATGCAACAAAAAAAATCTGCAGGCTTGCAGAACCAGTGAAAAATATTCTAGGGGCCTGTACCTTATAGAACCTGAGAGACTACAATGTCTACCCTAATTTCTGCAATATTATTTAGAGCAATTTCTGTTGGTTGTCTTTAAATTTTAATTATAAAAGCTTTTTGGTTGATTGTTTGGTAGTGTGGTAGATATTAAGGCACTGTTTTCCACCCTACCCATATACCAGTAGTACAAAAAAGGGAAGTTATAAACAATTTTGATCTTCTAAGTGTTAATTGACCTGTACACAAAAAAAAAAAAACCTAAAACCAAAAACAACAATTTAGCTTCCCAACTACAACATAAACTCTAATCGTTGTTTGATCACTTTGAGCCACTGTAATTTTCGGCCAAAAATACACTTTTATCTACAAAATGTTATTTGTTATTCTTTGCATAACAAAAGGGTTAGTAAAAATACTTACCATTTAGAGAAACACATAAAAAATTAGTGAACAAATAAGATACAGAGTGTGTATTAAATTCTTCAAACAAAACACAACCAAGATGATCCCAAGACAGAGGTGTCGATGTTGGTTAAAAAAAATATGACTAAGTTAGACAAAAAAATCTGTAAAAAAGCATATTAATAGGGGTTGAACAAGCAGAAGTACTACTTTATGAAACTACTTTATTTTAAACTGCTCAACTACAAGTGCATTCGTGGCCTTAGAAGGCCACACTACACTACACATGGAAATACAGACTACACTAAATCTCTAGTAACTATGAAAACTTACACAATACTCGTAAACCTACAATAATATTTTAAGATAATTTTATGCCAAACGTCTAAATATTAAAGTCTAAACTAAGGTTCTTTAGAAGTAAATCACCAATTGGGTTGGATTGAACTAATTATTGTTCATCTATACCCCAGTGGTTATTTGCTTAAAAAGGCAATAAGTAACAAGTTAGTCATTACGTTTTTTTCTTTGTTAAGAATACCTAATAGGATACCATCAAAAATGTTTTTGTGACCCTCTCTTTCAGGAAATATGTATTTACAACTGTTTTTATTTTTAATTAATAACATACCTAATTGATACAAAAATAGAGGGTTCATTCTGCTTTCACAACACTTATTGCTTCTCAAAAATATGTATACAGCTTACAATGACCAAACATGTTTTCATATATTAAATATGGCCATCTTAAATTTCATCCAAAAATGGCAAAAAATAATCACTAAAATCTAGATAATACATAATAATAAATATTTGGCACAATGTGACCGTAGTTCTTAAGTATGAAGAGAAATACATAATAACTATTTAGTGACAGATTACTATCACTATAAGGAGTATTATAATAGGTTTTTTTGTGTTTTTCGTTGTCCAACATATTTTTTTTAAAAGTATGTTTAAGCACTGTTCTGGGTGGCCAAAAAAACCAGAAAAGACTAGGCATAATAAATATTATGAAATGCCTAATTTGTGTTGAGCAAAAGTCGATGCTTTAAAAGACAAGAACACACAAAATTCAAATAAAGTAGAGTGGATGAAAAGCAAGATGGCGATAGTATAGAAAAGCAAAATTATCCACAAAAATGTAATTGGAATGTTAATATTTTATTGTAGAAGAATCCTAGAAACAAAACAGGACACATTTAGATTTAGGATAACATTTAACAATAGGTTAGATCTTGATAAAAAGTAGGACTATGAAAATGAGAATTGTATTCAAACTGCAAAGTAACAAATAAAAATTAATGACCTGGCATATGATAATGTATTCCTCAACATTGAACATTGCATATTGGAAACACTCTGATATAAGAAACTAATTAAAATACTGATCTTTCTCAAAGGACCGCCTAATTATTGTATGTTATCTATCTCAGAATAATGTGACTTTATTACTTCCTAATGATTATAGTAACAGACTATAAATTAAAATCAGTCAAATTAATAAAGAGCCAGGAAAGCAAATAAGTGACATGATTCAATACATTGCTCATTTCGACTTACAAAAAGTCCTATCCAGTCGAAAAATAAATTATTAATAAAAGTAATTTTTTACAGTATGCTTTTTTGTGTTTTCCATATTCGATTACTGAAATTAAAAAAAAGTACAATGATAAAAGAGGATATACCTATAAAAATGAAGAGCCAGTTATATCAGAGTTTGCCTGGGATTATGTATACATATTATCTCCTTCCATTCGAAATCTTTGAATCATTATAGCCATCAGACCAAAAATATAAATTTAATTAAAACATTTCTAAAGGATATTTTTGCTTTTTTTTTTCAAAAGGGTGAGACATAGACAATATCGCCTAATAACTATCACAAGGCTGAAGTCCATCCCTTACCAATCTATATTTAATACTTAACAACTACCTATTTATTATTAAAGAACAAGTTTACCCTTAGAATTGAAAAAGAATCTAGGAGCAATGCAAGGGTTGGAAGAAAAATGTAACAAAAAACCCTATGTAGCGTTCTTTTCCTTTTGGAACAACATTGACATATTTTTAGCTCCCAAAATTGCTCTTAGTTTCTATACACCACAACTGAAAAAGTTGTAGCCAGCGACACATTGGTCCGCAAATCACAAATATGTATATGAAAAACGTAATACGCTCAAAAAAAAAAAATCACTGAGAATTTTTAACCCTAATAATACTTAAGAAATTGAAAATATCAGCTTTTTTTTAATTTGCTTCAAAATTTAGGATTGAGCACATCGCGTTGCAAACAGGAAAAAGAACTGGAATGTTTGCAGGCCACAATTTCCTGTCGTGAATAATAAGTTTGAGGGGTTGGCAAGCTGTTGGCAAACTTGTGGAAAGTATTATTGACAGAGCTGCCAGAATTATACAATATAGGGGGTACGTAATAATTATTATTGGGTAGTTCAGTCTAGTACTAACAGCAACGCTTAGCAAGCTTAACCACTATTTTTAATCAGTACTTAACACTTTATTTACAAAAACACTAACACAGTGATGTTTTCTTTTAATACTTAAATGTCTTTTATGGAATGCATTTAGCTGCTCTTAAAATATCTTACAAAAGTCGCTTTTTTATATGCCCTTATGTTACTAGGAGTAGAAAATATCAATATTTATATCAATACTTAAGTAATATTGTTTTAATTTTAAAATAATGTTATTGAGTTTCGAATAGGAAAGTTAATGATTGACATACGGTAGTGTTGCAATTTGAATGGAAATATGAGATTTGTTAATGAAATTCAACTTCACAATTATTTCCCATCTGAAAGGCAACAACTTTAATAAAACTTTGACACCGATCTACATAAAGCCATTAAAATTGACTGTTTCTGATTGAGTGTTTAAAATTGAAGAAAAAATAGTAGTGTCAGATAAAAACCAAAACTCTACAAAAAAAAACCGTCTTATCACTAGAATTTAAAACAAAATTGATATTTTGTACTGATCTTAATCGTTAAAAGTTTCAAAAAAACTAATATGTCATATTGCTCATTGTTTATCTAAGATTTATTTGGTTCTCTTTTAGAGTAAATACTAATAATTAAGATCAGTAATTTTATTGTTCAAACACACTTGGCAATATAAACAGATTCTTTGTTTAAATATATTATACACAATATTCAATAAATGTATATCCTATAATATATTTTTGATACGTCCAGATATTATTATTAATTAAGTATGTAACAACAACATCAAATTTTACTTTGCCTAAAAATGACAGTTGATTTGTTAGAATTTATGTAAATAAAGGTTCATAATATCTAGTAACTAAAAAAAAAATCAAAATAATGAGATCTATTTTTTTTTTTAAACCAAAATAATAAGTTAATATCATTTAAGTTACTGCCATGCTTCAGTCATTAATTTAAAGCATTTCAAAATTAGTATGTACTTAATAACAAATTTAAGTACGAAAAAGACACAACCTTATGTCGAAAAAAAATCGAGTGAATTATTCTTATTGCCATGTCAAAGGAATATTATTTTTCACTTGAACAGAATCGTAGCATTATTTGAAAAGTAATACTGATTATTGCGAGTCTTTGCTTAATGGTAGATGAGCAGACATTTATCAAGAATCATTTTTTATTTACTGCCCATCCCTGCATTACGGCAAATGAGATTTCTCGTTTTTCAATAGCCTTAAAACTAACTAATTAATGGTTGACTAACAACCTAAAAAATCTTAAAACTTTTAAGAGTAGGCACAGTACGCCATCATTAACAATTTAAGGTCATGCACGCATTACAGAATGTTCCAATTAATAAATACCAAATTCATTGTAGGAACACTTAAAACATAAATACACACAACCTCTCTGTAAAAGAAGGCATGTCTTTTTTTCATTTTTCAAAAAAAGCTTTGAGGTGAGAAAAATCGGCACAAGCAAGAGGTTCCAAATGCTTAAACATACATGCCAACCCCATACATCGCACCCCAATCTACTCCCTGGAAACTGGACATGTCTACGTTGGTCAAGTTGTATCCTTGGTAAGGGCTGGGGGCCACTTGCTGTGCGCCAGCCATTTGAGGTGGACCTCCTTGTCCTGGATTCCCTGATTGAGGTCCAGCTCCAGTGGCAGGGTTAGTAGCTGCAGCACCTAATCCGGCAGTGACTGTGGGGATTCCATATGGCGAATATCTAGAAGGAAAAAGATTATTAGATTATACCTTCCAAGAAAAAAATACTATTTACTCACAGTGGAGTTATATGCTATAGAAACAAGGGCGAATGAATGACCCTGTCTTTTCTACTAATATGCGTTAGGGGCGCTTTTGACTTTACTAGTAAACTTGTTTTTTTGTTTCAAACATTCAATCCATAAGAATATAAGGGAATGAAGTATAAGTTATTGAAAAAAATCTAGTACTGATCATAGCTGAACACTCATTGGAAATTGATAAGCTGTTTTTTTTTTCTGGCAAACTACATAATGATAAGTTCTCTAACGATCTTAATTATTATTCAAACTGTTATACAAGGTAGTTCAACGTTTTTCTATATACAATTTTATAATTTAAGAGGCTAATTTTGAGTTCCCCGTTATTCAAAGTGAAGCCAATAATTTGTAGGAACCCCTGAAACATAAATACACATTTGGATGTGCACTGGGTCCCTACACAAACATCCCAATTAGGGCCCCTCACCCTTGTAATGAAAAAACATAAGATTTTTTGTACTTGATAATTTTTCTTTCAATAAACTTTTGAACCGAAATCAAATAAAATAAAATGATAAATCCAAAGCAAAAAAAGCAACAAATATCATTTATTTGGTAGAAACACATCAAAACAAAAAACTAAGAGATGGCTCCTCACCTTAAATCGTAATATTACCCAAGCAAAAAACGGAGGGTTTATAAAAATCTTTGCTACTACTCGGAAGTCTCTCCTTCTGGGTTTTATGAATGGCAAATTGTTCAAGTAAGAAAGCCAATTAGAAGCTGCGGAAGAAGACATTTTTAATCATATCAACTTAAGAGCTGCTAATGATCCTTCGAAGTTTTGATTATTTTCGGCTCTTGAGCTTTGAATGCCCTTAGGAAAAGTCTCTAGCAAATCCAGAGTTGATAAAAGTTCAAATTTTGATTATTACCGGCACTTGATTGGCTCCAGGAAAGTTTTCCAGAGAATTAGGAGCCAGTAATAGTTCAAATTTTGATTATCTGTGGCTCTTGATTCATTGGATACTTTTTCTTGAGCCAATTAAAAGCTGCAGAAGAAGAAATTTTGATTCATATCAACTTAAGAGCTGCTAATGCTCATTCGAAGTTTTGATTATTATCGGCTCTTGAGCTTTGAATGCCCTTAGGAAAAGTCTCTAGCGAATCCAGAGTTGAAAAAGTTCAAATTTTGACTATTACCGGCTCTTGATTGGCTCCAGGAAAATTTTGCAGAGAATCAAGAGCCGGTATTAGTTGAAATTTTGATTATCTGTGGTTCCTTTATCCATTGGATAATTTTTTTTGGAGCAACTAAATACCGAATATCCATATTGGATGCTGTGCTATGTCTGATAGACAAAATAGAAAGATCATGCAATCTATGATGACTTATGGAATTTCCCAAAAAAAATATTTGTACTTAAAGAAAGCCCTTACGGGCCCCCTTCGTGCCCGGGCTCCTAAGCTGTATCCGCTTGGCATATCGCAAATGCATATGCATATCGCCGCCATTGTTTGGGGGTTGCATAGCAGATTGTTTAGTAGATTTGAAGACTTTGTTGCCATCTTTTTCTGCTGATTCATACATTGTATTGCCTGCTTGATTGCATGTTGATCTGAACATACATTTCAAGGATGTGGAGGAAGTAGGTACTCGGTATCTTAGAAATCGCAGGATGAAGCATAAAAAACCAAAAGAATTGAAATGTCATCTAAAAATTTACGTTGTCTTCCAGTCTCAATATGTTCAGAAAATTCGATGCATCAAATTTTGTATATAAACTCATTACATTAAAAAGGTATTTATGGAAGCATTTTGCAGAAAGCAAAAAAGATATTATGAAAGCAGGATGGAGAGGGTTGACAATACAGTTAAAGAATGAACCAAAACCACAATAAAAAAAAAAAGTGAATTTGGATTCTCGTACGTTGAATAGAATTTACTGTCTAATTGCTGAAGATCTAATTTTAAAGCTATAAAGGCTTAGGTCGGCCAGTTGTCTCTTCTTGGTAATGTATCTATGAGAGAGACATTTTGTTTGCGTCACACGGATAACAAAGAATTATATTGATTATTGAAGAGTTAAAAAATTAAAAAAAAAAGGAATAGGCTCGTTCAGTGAAGTTTCATTAACCATGTTTTTTAATATTTTTATGGAGTATTACTCACATAGCACACAAAAAAAAATTTCAGTTCAATTGGATGAAAATTAAAAAACTTATGCGTCTTTGAATATTATGCCTAAGAAATTCATCGCTGAGAGATGGTATGACGTCATCTCTCGAGTTGAGACAGGCTAAAGGCAGTCACACATGGTTTTGCATAACGCAATGTCAACTGGAACACAGTTTCTGAGTTTGCGGAACTATCTATAATTTTACTTTTTGCATGCCACTTCCATAATTGTGATCATAAAATATTGTAAGTCAGGGAATTAATCAAATATACTTTAATCTGTTCGAAAGAAAAACATCCAGTCCTAGTTCTGTGGTTCTACTAGATAGAAAAAATGCCAAACCTCTATGTGCCGTATGTGCCAAACTAAAATTTGTCAAAACAATGTGAAAACAATGCACGTAATGTCCTAGTGACGGGCGTACCCAGAACCACCACGACCAACGTGAGAGATGCAGTGACGTCACCGCGTGTTTTGAATTTGGAGCGTTTTGATAATTTATTTAAATATGAACAAGGGCTCAAAAAATTATGAAATTTTGCACAACTGCTAAACTCAATACGCTCTTTTAGAATTTGTAATAAAAAAAAAATGCTGTACGAGCCTATTGATGGTATACCTAGCGTTGAAAGTATTTGAAAATTAGACAGCAAACTGCTGAAATGGAACAGGTTGATTAAATATTGCTGGACAAGAAACACGAACAGGAAGCTCGAAGACAGAAAAAAAGACGAGAAGGAAAAGACAGAAAGAAAGACGAGAAGAGAAAGCCCGAATACCAAAAGCAAAACAAAAACGGACGGCCGGAGACAGAAAAGAAAACGAGGAGAGGAAGCCTAAACACATAAAGAAAGGCAAGAAAACGAAGCCGAAATCAAGAAAAACAAAAAGAAGAAGAATTTCAATTTCAAATAAGCTTTATTGCCCAAAAATTTTACTCATGGTTGATACTTAAAATTATTGTAATATTCAATTAATACTGACGACAAGAACAGTTTGACAGTTTAAAACACAAAAGGTCTGTTTCTGCAGAAATCACAAACCAGTCAGAGTGAATTTCATTGGCTGAAACTAGTTTTCTGACTGTTTCTTACTGTTTTTAACCAATGAAATTCCCTCTTACTGGTTTGTGATTTTTGCAGAAACAGACCTATTACAACATTAACATTAACTGACATTAATTTATAAAGTCTAAAGCCGGCGCCACACGATGTGTTGAATGCCTTCCAACGTTGGACACATAGCGATTTGTGGCATCGTGTAGCCGTGCGCTCGTAACCACACGCGCCGTTCGGGTCATAGTCGGCAACATTGTACACAACGTTGGATCTAACGTTGAGACCAATGGTTGGACGCATCGTGTGGCGCCGGCTTTACACTATAGATACCACATTCAATCTCCATAAAATTCAGTAAGACGTGTTAAGACCATAATATGCCTTGACGACCATAGTTTATCACAGACATTTTATTTACAGATCTGTCTTGTCTATATAAATTGTAACCTGCTATGTTTATGATTGTATATGGCATATTCTGGATAAGCCACGTTTCTGTGACTAGAAGGAATGTTGGTTTTTCTTTTGCTACTAGTACATGTTCTTTGAGTTTTGGACGTATTGAAGAGGCGTTTGTATAGAGGAATGTGATGTTGACTCTACAAATTATTAGTTTTTTGGTTCTTGATATTCAGATGTTTCGTAGTTAATTTTTGGAATTCTGGGTGTTACTAGTTTTATGGTTCCATCAATGAACTTCATTTTTAGGTGTGGTTTATTTTCTTTTCATTTTTCTAGTTCACCAAGAAGTTAGAAGCTCTCACAGCAGTCCCCATCTTCAATGTCTTGAGGAAGATGGTTAAACATTTTTACACTTTCATGAATTATTGAGTTTTTTTGTAAGGGAAAGCTTTGGTATTGGCAGAGGTAGGTATTTTTGCCTTAGACTGTAGTTCCTGTCTTGTACAAAACCAGAACTTTTTATAAATCAGAGAAACTGACTCAAGAATAAAAATGCAGGGCACCACAAAAAGCAATCAACAGGTTTCTTTACAGACTTTTTTACAAAGATAACGTAGGGCCCTCTTTTGTAGTACAAAAACTGACTGTATAGATTTTTGTGTAGAGTATGCCCCAGAAAGCTATCCCGTACCTGATGTGTGATTCCAGTAGTGAATAATAAGCTGTTTTGGCTCCTTTTTTGCCAAGTTCCTGTACTACAGTCCTAACAATGTAACATCCGCTCGCCAATTTTTTATTTAAATGGTCAATATGGGATTCAAATTTCAGCCGTGTGTCAATGTGCAACCTTAGAAATTTTAAGGTTGTTCTATTTTCCAGGGTTTCGCTTTCTAGTCTGCCGTCAGGTGAAGAGCACTTAAAAGTGAGTATGTTCGTCTTTTGTACGTTAATAGTTACTTATACACCGAGTGAGTTAAATGAATTTTTATTCATGAGAAGAAAGTTTAACCCACGAGCCCTAGCGAATGGGTTAATTTTCTTCGAATGAATAAACATTTTAACTCACGTGATGAATACAAAATTTTATCCCATTTTGTGAAAATTTTAAAAATAAAGTAGAAGGAAAAATGCCGGGAGTGAGTTAAAAATATTTCAAATCACTGAGGTTTCAGATTTTTAGTTGGGCAGAGTGACTTAAAATGCCGAGAGTGAGTTAAAATGTTTTTAAATCACTAAGGTGATAAACGTTTACTTACCTTTATTGTTATGCGTTCAATAACATTTTTTATCCCATTTTGACGTTTAAAAATGACATTACTGAACGCATAACAATAAAGGTAAGTAGACGTTTATCACCTCAGTGATTTAAAAACATTTTAACTCACTCTCGGCATTTTAAGTCACTCTGCCCAACTAAAAATCTGAAACCTCAGTGATTTAAAATATTTTTAACTCACTCCCGGCATTTTTCCTTCTACTTTATTTTTAAAATTTTCACAAAATGGGATAAAATTTTGTATACATCACGTGAGTTAAAATGTTTATTCATTCGAAGAAAATTAACCCACTCGCTAGGGCTCGTGTGTTAAACTTTCTTCTCATGAATAAAAATTCATTTAACTCACTTGGTGTATAAATAACTATAAACTTCAAAATAGGATAAAATACAATGTATTTGTGTCACACCTACTCTTAATTTCGGAGAGATCGTTTTCGATGGTTGTCTGAAAATTGTCTAGAGTCTTTGAAGTCCACAAACCGGTAGCATCATCTGGTGATGGACGTAGAGTAGGAAAAGAATGGGTCCAAAACAAACCCCTGCGGCATACCATGGAAAATCTTATCCGTATCAGAATCAACCCCATTCACTCGGACGTACTGGAATCTACCCGAGAAAATTGAGCTGAACCAGTCCGAAGGTGTTCCACGGGTGCCATGATGACTTAGAATGAGAAGATGGCATCATTTGTACCCCTAGAACTTTGAAAACCAAACTGATTCCGATCAAGAACATTATGCTTCTTCAAAAATCCACTAGTTGTTCCTTAACAATTTTCTCCATGATCTTCGAGAGAGTACTCAATAGCGAAATAGGTCGATAATTCGATGGATCTGAACTGTCCCCCCTCCTTTAAAAATTGGGAGTACCACCGCTGACTTCAGACAAGGAGGAAATATTCCAGCGCCCAGAGACCAATTAATATAAAAGGCTAGTACCTCTAGAGCACTAAAGGGTGAGTGTTACAAATTAGATCATCTTACAGCTTTCCTGTAATCGTTGATGTGTAGAAAGTATTGAGTTTGTCAGGCTCGACATGAATAAAACTTTTGGATTTTTCTTTTTTTCCTCTAAATTCGTTAATCAATTTCCAGTATTCTCTGCTTTTGTTCTCAATAACCTGTCTATATATGGTTCGGTTCTGTACCTATTGAAGTACTGTATGAAAGCCTGACAGTAGGTGAACTTTTTTAGAGTATGCAGACACCTTAAGTTTTTTGAAGAGACCTTGATACCTTAGGTAACCCACGAGGTAACCCATTATTTTTTTGTTTTGTCTTATTTTTCGCAAAGGAAAGCTCTTCTCTAGAGTTCTAGTAACACATATCTGAAAACTTTGTATTGGACCCTGTGTATTCAAACACTGGCTCCAGTTTACACGGTTTGCCAAACTCCTGAAGGTATCAAACCTTGCGTTCCAATATTCATTCGCGAGCATATAGATATTTTATCACGTGATTTTTAATTGATTTGAAATGAATTGAACACGTGATAACTGTCAAAATTTTCACTGAGAATGGATTTAAAACATAATCTCTGAGGAACAAACCAGATACAAGGAAATCGTGGAAGGGCAAGGTAATACATTCAAGAATGCAATGGGAGAAGTACATTGAGGATTTGGAACTGTTCAGGTAGATGGTACTTTTTCACCAAGAAATAGAAGAAAATTAAGCCTTTGATTTGGAAGGGTATTCCAGAATGGAGTCCTGAACAACTCAGAAACTCAGAATTCGAAGACAGTGGCGTCAAGGCATTGTTGAACTTAAAATAAAATGGCAAAATATCCCCAACAAACTGAAAAAAGAAAAATCTGGTAAGCAAAGAAAGCAAAACCGGGGACGAGAAAATTGATGGAATGCGACTGTTGATTCAGAAGGTCAATATTATCGATGTGATATTATCCTCCAAACAACTGGTGTGAAGTTAGCAGCCAAAACTTGGCAGCCAATTCGACGGAAACACCCAAACGACCATTATCGTAACATTTTTTGATAAACTACTATTTTAACACCTTTTCCAATTCCCATGCAAAATCCCATTAACTCAAAGGCCATCAAAACATGAAAAACTGCCCTAAACAAACAAAAATGCATAAATATTCAGATTTTTGTATTTTTTTCTAACTTGGACATGAAGTCTAGCCAAGAAAAAGATAAGGTACTATTTCAACACCATTTCCCACCCACATGAAAAATTCCATTTACTCAAACGCTGTCGAAATATGAAAAACTACCCCCTTAACAAATAGAAGTGCATAAATATTCAGATTTTCGTATTTTTTTCTAACTTGGACATCGAGTCTAGCCATGAAATGCTTCAAGCTCCGAGGAAAGTTGGCTAGACCGAAGGACCATTGCGAACAATATAGAAAGACCTTTTATACCCAACTCAGCAAATCATTAATATATTCGGGAAATAGCAAGTGCCCAAGGACAACTTAACTATAAAGCTAAGTAAAAGCGATAAGTGTTTTGTAGAGCCAATCAGTTAAATTGAAGTTGTTGCTAGTATAAAGGAAGTTCTTGTAGACCCGCGGAAATTCGTGACAATATTTTAGAATCTCATTTATAATTTTCCAACACACACGATTTATTTCTTTTCTATCTTATGTTTAGTCACTGGTGACACTACTATGCCTTTACAACTTCAAATTGAGACTTATCACAATCAAATTGAGAACAAACATTTTCAAATTGAGATTAAAGAAAATCAAATTGAGAACAATCAATTTCAAATTGGTACAACATTCAATTACATGGAAGCGGATGTTGTACCAATTTGAAATTGATTGTTCTCAATTTGATTGTTTTAAGTCTCAATTTGATTTTGTTAATTTCAATTTGATTGTGATAAGTCTCAATTTGAAGTTGTAATGGTATAGTTTTTGATAAGTGGACTAATGTCAAATCAATCCTTACTTTTGCTATTTTTTATTTTAATCTTGACAGTATCAAATGCTGTTGGTTTGAAAGAAAACTTTGTGTGAGCGTTTCTTTTGAGAGTAAACTTTTCAGATGATTTGTGTTTCAGCTAGTTCTTTGTTGACTCTAGAGATAGTGTGCTAAAATTGATTATATTTATGAAGCCAAACAAAACTTATATGTTATTTGCTTGTTTTTGTCTTTCTTCGATTATGTTATATCTCAGACCCAATAATTATGTTCCGTCTAAGGGTTAGAATTCTGGAAGATAGTTTCTATACTCTTTTAGGAACTTAAAGTCTAGAATTTTGTTGGCATCAAATTTTTCTTGAAAAACCTTGTACTAAAAAAAATTGTCAATTGCTCTAGAATAAAAGCTTTAAATTTGTGTGTTACTGAGTTCACAGAATAACTTTTGATCTGCTCCACCCACCCGCAAACTGACAACACCACTATGAAATTATACCTACTCGGTGTGAAGTTACTGTTAATTCAGGTATTATGATAAAATTATTTTGAGATGATTTTATATCCATTAAATACAAGTTCAAATAAATTAATCGATCAGAAAAAAATTGGGCCTCTTTTCTGTAGAAAAAAATAAATAAATATTACATACCTGTAACTGGCAAGATGTGGATACAATAGTTTACCATATCCAGCTACAGCTGCATTCTGAGCTTGAGCAGCTGCAGCAGCAGCAGCGGCAGCTTGAACGTGAGCAAGGGAAGGTTGCACAGCTGCTAGAGGATTGACCACTGCCCCAACTTGTGGTGCCGGTAATCGTAATTGACCAAGCATTAGTCTTTTTCCAAGCAATTGTGCACTGGTTTGTACTGATTCCTTGGGTTGAGCCTTCTTACATTCAACCTAGCAACAAACAAAGTGATAAATAACAAATTATTAATTTTGAGAAACATCCTTACCTTCTTGTTTTTAATTGTATGAAAATGAATTTCACAAACCCTGTCAACCACATCCTCATTTTCGAACGTTACAAATCCAAATCCTCTATGTCTCTTGGTTTGTTGATCCATCAACATTACTGCTTCTTCAACCTTTCCAAACTGATTGAAATAGGCTTTAACTTCATCGGCAGACGTGTCCTGGCTGACGCCCCCAACGAATATTTTTTTGGTCTTGTTGGGCTGTTTTGGTCGGTTTTTGGGCGTGGCATGTTTGGGATCAATTTTTTTACCATCCAAAGTATGAATGGGAACTTTGAGCACTTTGTCTACGCTTGATGGTTCTGAGAAGGTTATGAATCCAAAACCGCGACTTCTCTGGAAAAAAAAACAAGAATGATTTACTAGAAAGTTATGGCTTTATGCCTTGAAACAGAAAAGGAACATTAAAACATCATAAAATTCATTCTTGAGAAAATTTATATTGCCGCATTTTGTAGCGTGTTATGCACTGTTGAAGCCCCAAGTATTAAAATAACATCTTGGGTCTATGCCAATATACTTGTACACTGCTAGAGGGTATTATTTTATGATCTTTGATAAAGTTTGGCGCTTTATCCGCTTCCTTTTACGGAAAACTTGGAACAATTATTAATGTTAGAATATTTATTTCAGTCTAATCAATAAGTATCTGTTTTTCGGGGAAATAATCGAGTTTAACTCTAACTGAACTGAGAAGATACAAATGTACTTATAGAAAAACTCTCAGAAAACTACAACTTGGATGGTGACAAAGCTATTTAGGTACAGAAAATGATGAAGTGTATTCAAGTGAAAAAAACTATGGAAGCAAAACTGGAAAATAGAAAAGAAAGACCTAGAAGGAATTCCGATAAAGTTATATAGACAATAAAAGATATCTGCATACATACATTTTTATTATCCTTATTGTTCTTAATTTTGTTGTTTTTTTCTATTACTTTAAATAAAGTTAAAGGCTTCGGTACCAGATCTATTGTAATCGGATTAGAGGTCAGAAATAAAATATTAAAAAAAAGGAGACAGAGACAGTCATTGAAGAATAATGTTAAGATGTGTGTCGTTCTTAAGCCTGTATAAGTTTGAATTGCTCCAGCAATTTTAGGCTTTCAACTTTAAAAAAAAAATATTGTCTTTATACATTTTCAGTAGGTGTCTAGTTATTTTCCAAAACATTTGTCCTAGAATACTTTGAAAATGGCGAAGAATGTGAAATGGAAATACAAGATGTGCAAGTAAAAACTTGGAGGATAGCAAAGACAATAACGAGGACAATTACCAGGAACAAAAAGAGGTGGAACAAATTTTAAATTTATAAAAATATGGGCAGGTCACCACATACTTAACATATTGTCACGCTTAGGTTGTTTGTGGTCAGCGGTGCCACCACTTTATCTACACTTGGCTGCGTCGGCTAAGGGTTTATCCTGAAAAGAGGTTATGTGGGGAAAGGAAAGATTTCACCACTAGTAGTAGCCTATTGTTACACCTTAATTTACTTATGTAGGAGATGATTAAATAGGGTTTACCAAAAATAGATCGCAGTAAATATTCTTCCCTGGTGAGCCATCATTTAACATTCCCCTGGAATGCCTATTTTTAGGGAAAGCCCTACGCTGTCAATAGTACCCAAACAGCCCTATGAAAATGTACCCTCGAGGGGTTTAGTTTCCATAAATCTAGCTTTGGGGCGTTGAGTGGGGCTTCTACAGCATGACATTCACCTTAGGATCTCAGTCGTACTGTAGCAAGTCACACCCAACTTGGAGAGAAAGTCTTTAGGCCTGTACCCTCGAGGACCTTGAGGCTATGGAGACTAACCTCTTCCTGACTGCATTGCGGTACGCGTAATTTATACAAGAATTATTGCTACCGTCAGCAGAGTCAGTTAATTTTCTGTAGTACAAGCGCCAAATTCATTTTTTTTTAAATATTCTGTGGGCTTGTAGACATTTATGAGTTGACATTTGCCCCCCTGTGAAAGCATTGGTCCTCAATGCTAGTGAAAGAACATCATGTGCTTACAATTTAGAAAAAAATTAAATTTTTTTAAATTTACAGCTTCTTCTTCGTTCGGCTTCGTCGATTGGTTTGGTCTGTTGTGGTATGTAGATTACTGGATTCTGTGTCTGCCAATTTGCTTGTGGGCAGAGTAACTTGTTGGAAGTGGTTGCACTTCATTGGCTGTCCCACTGGCTTGTGGGTAGTTGTGGTGACTTGTAGACTGTTCCGGGCTAATTCGCTGGTTTTTGAAGAATCCTATAGTTTGTTCAATTGTTCCACTAGCTTGTGGACGGTCGTATGGCTCAAGGATATAGTGGTTTAAGGGTTGTACCACTGGTTGGTGGGCAGTCATATGGTTTGATCAATGGTCCCACTGGTTGGTGGGCAAGACACCCAAACGCACAAGGATGGCGCAATTACAAGCCCCAGCCATCCTAACAGAAGGGCGAAACAATACGGGCAATCCATTCTTCAACATAAAAATAAACAACTCCAGCCAGATGGCAATAATAGACACCGGTTCTCAAAATAACATAATAAATGCGGACTTGATAAGAAAAGGCAAGATAGAAAGCTCCAATGTAATACTAGTTACAGCAGGGAGACATAAAATACCCGTTCTAGGAGAAGTAATGGCATCAATACAGATAGCAGGCATAATCTACACATGCAAAATGAATGCAATGAATGGAGTGCCGTAACCGATTATTCTAGGAATGGATTTTCTGAAAGCAAACCAAGCTACTCTAGATCTGAACCGAAACACTATAAAGTTAAAGGGACAAACGACGTTAAGACTAAGTCAAACAAAAGAAATCAAGAAGGAAACACCATCAGGTATAGCCATAAATCACTTAAACCAAAAACGAGACGAACAAAAGAAGAGCAGACCAAGAAACACGTTCGAAAGATTCAGGCAAAATTTATCTAAAATAACCCAACAAGAAATCGACAATAGGATACAAGAAATAACGGGAAAAAATGAAGATTCGCTACACGTCTTGGGGGTGAACAGGCATATGGAAACCAGAGGATTAAACGAACAAATAAAAGGGATGTTCCCAGATTTAAAAAGGTCACCAGGAAGAGTAGGACAAGTAATGACAGAATCACAGGGAGGCAAAATAACTCTTTTCCAATGTATAAGGAAGACAAGAGAAAACCCAACATTAAGAAACTTATACAGATACTGGCAAAAAACAAAAAGCTACGCACTAGAACAGAACATTGAGTCAATTTGTATACAACAAAAAGTATGGGGACTAAAAAGTAGGACCTGGAGGTCTATGAAACAGATAATCACAGAAATATTCAGAGACACCAACATAAAAAACCTGATACAGAAAAACGAGAAAAATATACAAGAACCAGAAAATATAATGTGCAACATAACTATAGATGAGCAACCAAGCAGCTTGAAACTAGGAGTGACACAGGACCACTCCCTGAATGCCTAGGAATCAAGAACCATAGAACTATATCTTACAAAAAATATAAGAGAAAACGTAAAATACCGCTGCAAATATAATACCGACATACTAGCAATAACTATAGAATCACACATATACACAAATGAGGAATTATTATTTATAAAAATCAAGTCAAATCGTCTAATCAATGTACACAGAGGAACAACAATAGTCTTTTTAGAAGAATATCAAAAGAATACAGAGATACCGTGCAATATGTTAGAGGTTAATAAAGATAAAGTTACAATGGAAGACTATAACTTAGTAAACATAAAGGACCAAAACACTAAAAAAGCATTACAAGACCTTTTAAATGAGTTCAATGATGTCTTCGCAAAATCTCCAAAGTACATGAGCAAGACAAACTTAACAAAACACAGAATTGAAATAGAGACAGACACCAGACCAATAAAAAGGCGCCCTTACAAAGTATCACAGCTAGAATAGGAAAATATACACGAGCAAATAAAGGAAATGTTAGAACATGATATCACCAGGCCATGTCACTCTCCAGTGGTGCTAATAACCAAGAAAGACGGATCTACAAGATTTCGCATAGATTATAAAAAACTTAATAATGTGACAAAGAAAACAAATTATCCATTACCTCAAACCGATGACATATTAAGTTACCTGGGCAAAGCGAGATATTTTAGTACCCAAACATGTTCTCAGGATACTGGCAAATGCCGATAGAGGAAAATTCAAAACAATACACGGCATTCGTGGCACAAGGCCAAGGCTCGTACGAGTTCAACCTCCTCCCATTCGGATTATGTAATGCTCCATCTTTGTTTCAAGAACTCTCGGATATGGTCTTTTAGGATTTAAAATGGAAGGAAGTATTAGTGTATATGGATGACATCATCATTTTCTCAGAAACGGAAGAGCAACACATACAAAAATTAAAAGTATTCCAGAGACTGGGATTGAGAACAAAGTTATTTGAATTAAGTGAGACTTTTTTCCTTTCTTCTCTCTTTTTTCCACAACTAGAATGTCTCACAAAATAGCAACAACTGGAATATGTTCCAAATGTAACGAACCTTGCATATTTAGAATAAAAGCAGAGCGAGGAGAAAGTAACGACGACCAATTTGGCTATCCTTGTGACGGATGCAAAGGAGTACTGTGCAGGAAATGGGAGAAATGGGGAACTACGGAGGTAAGGTTTATTCAAACACTATCTTGTAAAGTTCCATTTTTTTGCACTGCTTGTGCTGAAAATGAAATAGAATAATTAAACAACTAGAAAACACAAAAGTTGAAAATATGGCTTTGATGCAGAAATGGAGAAAATGGAACAAACTATAAGGGACCAACATTGCCAAATCAGAGAAATTAATGAAGAGTATGAGATTTTCAAGCAAGAAAAGGGCAGCGTTGAAGAGTGTTTAAGGCGACTACAAAGACGTACAGTTGACTTCGAAGATGACGTCTCTGCAGCCGAAGAAAGCTATAAGAGAGAGATAGAAAAAAGAAAGTCAGATATATGAAATCTTAATGGGGACAAGATGGAACTGTCAAGAAAAATTGATGATATGCTAAAGAACGCACTTGCAACCAAGGAAAAAATTAAAAAACAGGAGACAGACATCAAAGAATTAACCGTTTTGAGGAACGACTCACTGTCTACAATCAGAACTTTAACACAAGACAATGAAATTTAAATGCAGGATTACAAAAATGAACAAAATAAACTTTTTGTTTGTGAGCCTTCTGGATAACAATGGCCAATGTGCGGAATCTAATTCAGTTACTTTTGTCACTCAAATGTTAACAGGTCAATGAGAGAGCCAAAGAGAGAGTCAAGAATTAGGAAAATTAACAAACAAGAAAGCTTGCACAAATAATAATGGAAATAATAAGAGCAATAATCAACCTAAAATGCTTCTTTTAGGAGACAGTTCCACTGCTAATCTTCACAAATTCTTGACGGACTGCAACAGTCTCAAGAAATTCAAAATCATTTCATTTGTGAAGCAGAATGCGGAAATGGAGGATATTACGAAAAGCATTCTGAATTTGACAGAGAACTATACAACACTGGATTATGTAATTGTTAGCGGAGGTCTGAGGAATGCGATATTAGGTAAAAAAATACACGAATCAGTATTCAACCGTTTAGCGCAGATATCCCAAGTTACTAATCCTATAGTGTTATCCATACCTCTATGGGAAAACCGTACAGTGTTGCACAAATTTATCGACGAAATTAACATAGGTTTTTCTCAATTTGTAAAGGCTCATGGTAATCTGCAATTTTTTATCAATTTGAACTCATTCTTAAATTCATATTCTTTTACCTTCTGGGGAAATACACCGAAGTATTATGCTTACTTAAACGAAAATAGCTCAAAAAATTTCCGAACATATATCAAAAGAATAAAAGATGTTTTAGTTTCGCAAAATAACGAAAATAAAAAACTAGATCTAATGTTGGTACCACGGGGGGAATCGGGGAACTCAAATGATAAGATAGGTGAAAGTTTTTTAGAGCTAGTTCTTGATGTTCAGACATTACATTAGTGACCCTCAACATACAATCGGTTAGGAACAACACCAATGAGCTTCAGTTATTTTTGGATGAACTTGAAACTCCTAATATTGTGCTTCTTTGTGAGCACTGGGTAAAACCAGAAGAACCATTTTTTATACCTAATTATATTTTATTGAGTAAATACTGTCGTTTCGAAAGTACTTGCGGTGGCACATTGATACTTGTTCAGGGTGAATTCCTGGATTTATATTGTTTTTAAAAATATGACAAATTCAATTACCTTAATGAAGAAAAATTGTTTTGAGTTGTTAATGGTATATTGTAGTGAACTTAGATTGTATGTTATCTGCATATATAGATCTCCCGGAAACAGTTCCGAAGCATTTTTGTTTAAATTAGTAATTATATTATCACAGTTACCTGTTCACTGTCATGTTATTTTATGTGAAGACTTCAATATTAATTATTATCTAGAAAACTTATGTAATAACTGTCAGAAACTTATAGAATTATTAGATTCTTTTAATATAAATATGTTTGTGGATTTGCCCACCCGAAATACACCATATTCGTCTACTTTAATAGATTATAATGTGTACAAATTATGAACAAAATATGGTTGAGTGTATATGTCAGCGGGGTTGTCTGACCATGATGCTATTACTTGTAAGTTATGAAGAAGTTATCTAAGAGAATTAAACGTAAAGGTAGGATTTATTCACGTGGGAACTATCGTAGGTTCTCGCAAAATTGTAATAATTCACAATTGAAAATCCTTTAGAGTGATATCATAACAGATTACGTGATATATTTAATAATTCATTTCCTCTAGAAGCGCTAAGGAAAGGAAAACAGAAACCCTGGATTACCAAAGGTTTAAAAGTATCAGCAAAAAACATGCGGTCTCTGCACTACATTAGAAAATACTTTATGCAAAATGAATATTTTATTCATTTATACTCTTCCTATAGAAAAATATATAGACAAGTAATTAAATGTGCCAAGAATTTCTACTATAACAATAGAATTACTAGGTCGAATAACAGGCAGAGGGAGTCGTGGAAAATAGTCAATGAGTTGAGAGGTTGCAGTAAGTCTGAAGGCGTGGAATCTAAGCTATCTGCGGATCAAATAAATACGTTTTTTCTGTGACCAGAAAAAAGTAGACTTTTTGTACCTGTTGACAGGTAAAAATGTCACTTTTTCTCCTATGGGAAAAAAGTGATTTTTTTCCCATGGGAATAAAGTAACAGGTACCAGTCAATTTTTTTTCCCGAGGGAAAAAAGTAACAGGTATCAGTCAAATTTTTTTCTCAAAGGGAATAATGTATAGATGGAAAATGTTGAGATTTTCCCGTCACAGAAAAAAATAATGTATTATACATGGGAAAAAAGTGAGATTTTAGCGCTCGCTGTGTTGTCTCCCTCCGCTTCGCGTCGGGAGACAAACCACACCTCGCGCTAAAATCTAGTACTTTTTTCCCTTGTATAATAAATAACTATTTTGTGTTCTGTTGCTTCCGATTTATCAAAAAAAAAAAACTACCAAATAATGTTTCTTTCGCCAAAGAAGGAGGCACAATAATTAACATTGAAAATAGGCCCCCGTAAAATTTCAACCAAATTCCAATATTTTAAAGGTATCATCATTGCAAAAAAAAAAATTGAAATGTAAAGAGGATCGTATGTCTATGATAATGATAGCAGATATAGCTCATCAAGGTACGTAGATCCTGCTATGCTATGCATAGGAAATATCTGATGAAATATCTCCATGTAGATTTTCTTGAATATCTTGAAAAATACTAATCCGATTTTGACGTTTTTGGGGTCCTTTTGTAGGTATCAAACTCCAAAAATTATTATTGAAATGGTTTGGACCATACAATATAGTAACAAAATTAGGAGAAGTAGATTACGAAATACAAAAAGTTGTAGGGAAACAGGACACAGTCCACGTTAGTAGGATATTACCCTATTACGACCAGTGGACCGCAGTGTCAACAATTTTAGAAGACTTACTAGAGGATCCAGAGGAAGATCAAATAAGTGATATCGATGACAATGAAGAAATCAAGGAAGATTAGGCAGGGCCTCAAGTTGTATAGAATAAACGCGTAAACGAGCAAAGTCCGGACTGATACTCATAATTGTAACAATAGATGTATTAACTACTAGTCGTGAAATATTTCCTTTCCCCACATAACCTCTTTTCAGGATAAACCCTTAGCCGATGCAGCCAACTGTAGATAAAGTGGTGGCACCGCCGACCACAAACAACCTAAGCGTGACAATATTGATAACATTAAGATTTTTACCTGAGTGACTGGATCTTTCATAATCAAAACGTCTGTAACATTTCCAAATACTCCAAAATATTCCTTCAATTTTTCGCTGGAAGTTTGCCAACTGAGACCACCAACAAATAGTTTTCCGGGTGCCGGTTCACCTGTACCGCCATTTTGTCCATTGGGTGTGCTCCTGCCACTGGAGCCTGAGTGAGACCCGTTGAATGGAAGCTCGTGATGAGTTTCCAGCAAAACATTTGCTTCGCCCATGGTGGTACTGCAAAAGAAAATGTTTCAATTATCCTCGGTATTTTTGTTTTTAAATTGGTTTATGTACATCTTGGTAATGTAAGATGGGTTAAAACATTGGGTGATTTTTACATTGAGGAGTAGGTACTGCGACTTTGTGTTTTTTTAGCAATACAAATGTTGCACTAAAATTAAGTATTACAATATCATTTTTCATATACAATAATAATAAATCTACAAAGTTAGGGTTAAAAGTTTTCACAATAAAAATTCATATTTTTCAGGTGTCTCTATAGTCTAAAGCTAACTGTTCGTAACCAACCAAAAAGACAATAATTCAATTTTCAATTAATACACCATGCCCATTTATCGTTATTGATTTCACCACCACCACGATATTCAAACTTCGTCCTTGTGCATTGAATTAATAAATTACTCCCTAAAATATTAGCCCATACACAAACCTTGAATTCATTCTGGCAGCATTTTCGATATGCCGCCATCGACTAATAAGTTAATTAAATATTTGCCATCAAATTTCTAAGCCCTTTATTACACTGAAGAATAATAATGGCGGGCCAATAACTTAATAATATTATGGTCTCTATTCTAACACCTTGACGGGAATACCTAATATCATGGTAATTTCAGGGAAATTTTCTTAGCGGCTCTATTTTTGACACATGTTATTGATAGCCTAATAAATTTTTAATAGGGAAGGTAATTAAGACTTCCAAGACCCCTTCAGAATATTTAATTAGGTTTTTTCAGCTCAAATATTCAATATAAGAATTACTCACTGTTGCTTCCTGAATAATTCATAGGATCTGTGTACCAAGTAGTTTTGATATACTTTTTTTGTTGTAAGAGGTAAGAGGTATTGAAAATAATTGATGATTGGCTGTACAGTGAAAGACTCCATTTTCTGGGATTCTACAAAAGGCATTGTTGTGCCAGACAAAGTAGAGAGTCATTTGTGGGTAATTGCACATGAACAACAAAGACAATCCCAAAATCGCTTGATTGCTTATGCATAAAAATGAACAGCAAAAAGGCACTGCATTGGCATACAAAAGCGTACTAACAAAAACAGCTCAAAAATAATGAATTTTCTGTTTGTTGAATTAAAACAAAGAGAGAAGCTTATGACCTTGCATTTGGAAACGTTGATGATTTTTCGGGGATTTTTTGGCCGTTGGTAGTGAAGCAACCTTGCAACGCGAACCAACTTTTCCCCGAAAACGTAGTGTTTACACTGTAGGTTGAAAATATTTCATCAGGAGAGATACCTTCAAATAGCTAGCAGAAATTCTTGATGCACCCCAATAATTTGAGTTTGCAATGATTTTTGTCGCAAGACTTGAAGATTGTAAGAAAAATAGAGTTCCAGTGAGAACGATAACATTGATAAAAGATACCTAAAAATTATTTCAAAGTTGTAGAACAAGGATGATGAAAAATTTTTCAACAGAATTGTATGTTATCACGATGCTTCAGTCTGGCTCTTCTAAAAGGATCTAGTCGATTAATTTTATCAGGAAATACCTTTCGAATTTTATCCCATGGAAGACAAAAGCCAATCACCTGACTGATGCTTTCACGGCAGACAGGTTAAGATGGGTGACTCAAATAAGAAGACTGAATTTAAAAACAAAATGCTTCCGCAATTTATCTTAGATTGTCTAGGTTCAGACCATTGTAGAGTAGATGGGTATTTTACATCTGCTCTTCAAATTATTTTGAAATTACAAAAAAATCTCGGATTTTGTCATATGCTAGAGGAAATACACGTCACACGTCTTCATCTTTTCTATTGCTTAATGTGGAAGATTGCGTAGAAAATTTGAATTGAATGAAGAGCATGCACATCAAGGAAATCATTTAAGCATACGTTTTCTCAAGTTACCAAGATGAGCATAGGATTCGTCTGGTGACAGGGAACAGGCTCATAATGAATATAATGATAACCCGAGATATGGACATTTCCACCCTAGTCTCGGGTACAAACAGTCCTGGAAATTATAGGCAGTACCAAAATACATCGTTTGGGGAACCTCACTTGACTTGCAAATTACTTTGAAGGTGGTTTAAGGGGGTGAAACTAATAATTGCGATTCATCGAAAAAAGGGTTTTTGTGAAAATACGGACATTTCCCTCCTAGTCTCGGGCACAAATAGTAAGTACTGGAAATTATAGGTAGTACCAAAATACATCGTTTGGGGAACTTCACTTGACTTGCAAATTACTTTGAAGGTGGTTTAAGGGGGTAAAACTAATAATTGCGATTCATCGAAAAAAGGGTTTTTGTGAAAATATGGACATTTCCACCCTAGTCTCGGGCACAAACAGTACTGGAAATTATAGGCAGTACCAAAATACATCGTTTGGGGAACCTCACTTGAGTTGCAAATTATTTTGGAGGTGGTTTAGGAAGATATGGACATTTCCACCCTAGTCTCGGGCATAAACAGTACTAGAAATTATAGGCAGTACCAAAATACATCGTTTGGTGAACCTCACTTGACTTGCAAATTACTTTGAGGGTGGTTTAAGGGAGTAAAACTAATAATTGCGATTCATCAAAAAAAGGGTTTTTGTGAAAATATGGACAATTCCACCCTAGTCTCGGGCACAAACAGTACTGGAAATTATAGGTAGTACCAAAATACATCGTTTGGGAAACCTCACTTGACTTGCAAATTACTTTGGAGGTGGTTTAAGGGGGTAAAACTAATAATTGCGATTCATCGAAAAAAGGGTTTTTAGGAAGATACGGAGATTTTCACCCTAGTCTCGGGCACAAACAGTACTGGAAATTATAGGCAGTACCAAAATACATCGTTTGGGGAACCTCACTTGACTTGCAAATTACTTTGGTGGTGGTTTAAGGGGGTAAAACTAATAATTGCGATTTATCGAAAAAAGGGTTTTTGTGAAAATATGGACCGAGGGGTGGTTAACTGGTCAAAATCCGTGTACAAGTTGGTCAAAATCCCAGAAAATCCCATAAGATCTACTCACAATCCTTAAAAATTCAACAAAATCCCACAAAATCTCTTGAAATTGCATAAGATCCTACAAAATCTAGCAAAATTTCATTAAAACCAAAAAAATCCTGCAAAATCTCATAAAATCATTAACATTCCTAAAAAATATTTCCTTTGAAACTCCCAAAAATCCTTTGGAATCCCCAAATCTGTAAAAGTCTCTCAAAATTCCATAATTTAGTGGAATTTCGAGGAAATTCGGTAGAATTATGTTATTCTGAAAAAGGAATTACATGTGAAATTTTTGCGGAGTTTCCATAGAATTCACATTAAATTTTAGTTCCTCTCGAACTACATGGAGGAATTCTAAACAATTATATGAAATTACACCGAAATTCCCAAAATGAAATTTCAGTTCTTACTAAATTTGATTAAAATTCCAGGAATTCCGAGGAATTTCCGGCTAAAAACATGGAATATCGGTGACATTCCGAAAAATTTCCATGTAATGACATGAAATTTCAATATATTTCGGTGAATTTTCAAGAAATTACTTGAAGTTTCATTACTATTCCCAAAAATTCTTGGCTATTAAAAGAGAATTTCAGTGAAATTCCGAAAAATTCTTATGAAAATAAATGAAATTTTGAAAAATTCCTTGAAGTTTTAATGGACTTTCGAAAAATCATCGGCTATGAAAGTGGAATTTCAAAATATTCTCATAATTTTAGTGAATTCCGGGGAATTTTTAAGAAATTACATGAAATGTCAATGAAATTCCGAAGAATTTTATGAAAATTTTGTGAAATTCCAGGATATTTCAGTGGTAAGATTTTGGGGAATTTCAGTAAAGTTAAAAAAAAAATATATGGAATTTTGAAATTGAAATTCTAGTGGAATTCCGAGGAATTTTATGAAATCCTATACTGTAATTCCGAAAAAAATTTGTCTAAGAATTCCATAAAATCTTCTGGTGAAATGTTAAGGAATTTCTATGGAATTACTTAAAATTTTCGCGGAATTCCTATGGAATAACTGGAAATTTTAGCGGAATTTTGAAGAATATCATGAAATTTCATAGCGTAATTCCGAGGAATTTTTGTTCAATAATTCCATTGAATTTTATCGTGGAATTCCATGAAATCTTATGGTGAAATTTGGAAAAATATTATGAAACCTTATAGTGAAATTTTTAGGAATTTGCGTTTTTCCATTCAAATTTACCATTTGAATGGAATTTCAAGGAATTCCATAAAATCTTCTGGTGAAATTCTAAGGAATTTCTATGAAAACTATTTCATGGAATAACTTGAAATTTTAATGGAATTCCGAAGAATTTCATGAAATCTCATAGTGTAATTTTGAGGAATTTTTGTGCAAGAATTCCATTAAATTTTATGGTGGAATTCCATAGAATCCTATGAAATTCAGAAAAGTATTATGAAATCTTATACTAAAATTTCTAGGAATTTACGTTTTTCCATTCAAATTTGTCACTTGAATGGAATTTCGAGGAATTCCATAAAATCTTCTGGTGAAATTCTAAAAAATTTCTATGGAATTGAATAAAATTTTCGCAGAATTCCCAAGGAATGACTTGAAATTTTAGTGGAATTCCGAAGAATTTCATGAAATCTTATATTGTAATTCCGAAGAAAAAAAAATTCCAAGAATTCCATTGAATTTTATGGTGTGAAATGTGAAATGTGAAATTTTTGCGGAGTTTCCATAGAATTTACATGAAATTTCGATCGAATTACATGAAATCCTGAATGAGTTGCACGGAGGAATTCTAAACAATTACATGGAATTATACCGAAATTCCCAACATGAAATTTCAGTGCTCGTTAATTTACATAAAAAATCCATCAGAGGATTGCGACGATAGAAGAGGATGGAAATTAGGTGTTGGACAACAAAGAAAGACGCTCTAGAAAGACATATGTATATCAATATATATGATAACTTCAATTTGACAAATAGGAAACACTGATAAATGCATACATTCGTAGTTCACTAACTAAGGGAAACAAATGTAAA